AAGCTTCAGGCTCTGAGTAAGACAGTAAGACCCTGGCTGGGCTATTTCTCCCATGGCAGTTGCTAGGGGCTCGCCGTGCAAAGCTCTTGTAGGGACATTTGGAAATAAAGTGTTAACCATGCTTGTCGGCGAACCATACCACAAAGACAAATAATACGTCAGTTTCTTGTTGCAGGTAATTGAAGCAGGCCAAGCCTGCAAGGGGCATCTGGGAGGCAAGCAGCCGCGTAAGAGAGGCTCTGAGCCAGAAAATGGTGAAGTATGTTCATGTCGGACTTTTCTGTTTGAGGGATGGGAGTTCTGTCATGTCCTGACATCGCGAAAGCTGCGTTTGACCTGTGCATATGGTAAGCCTCGTAAGCCTCCAAGGCAGGACTGTTTGCCAAGGACTCTATCCCGACCACCCCCCAATTCTTGCCGATATGCGCCCTGCCTGTTGCCTCGTCTAGATGCAGTCAATGTCTGACCAGGTTTGTGCGACAAAGTGTTACTATGCAGGCAGCATTGCAGGAGACATTTACAAAGGACTGGCATGGCTTCGTGTGTGTTTGTTTGTGTGCTGGAAGTGTGACTGAGATACATGACTTGGTGCGGGGGACGATTGTGCGGGCGCAAACACAAACACTGTAGTGTATGGTAGTGCCCCTAGGCCGCGGAGGAATTCTCTTAGGGTAGTGTTTGCAGAGGAAGACCTTGTTCCCTCAACCCAGATCCTCAAAAGAGAAACCTAATTCCTAAGAGCCGTGCCGTAGGCGAAAGCAGCAAACCTAAAGAGTTAGCAGCACCGATTCCAAAACGTTCTGCCGGGGTCAGACGGCTCAACTTTCGACAACAGTTCTTGTTCAGTGCAGATTGTCAACGCTTGTCTTTGTCCTTCGTCTTGCCACGGGTGAGCTAGGGAAACACTTGCTGACAGGAAGCACGTCCATGCCCGACAGGTTCAACACGAGGGTGTCAAGCAATATGTTCCACAAGCTTGCCAGGCACGGCTGGGCCTTTATCAGAACAAGGTCATTCAGGTGCGGGCACATCACAATACTCGTGCAGATTCTGTCTTCAGTGAGCGATCAGTCAGTGCCACATGCTAAACCATCCGGTTCTTGGGACGGTGCGGAGAGCAGGAGTCGTCCGTGTAGGTCTTTGGCCCAGCAGTGATTCTGTTCAACAGATTCAGAGCCAGCGAATAAGATGATTATGACTTGGGGTCAGGCATTTGTGTATTCGGTTGCGTTTAGGGCCGGCTAGCCCCGCAACTGCCACCACAACTGCAGCATGCCACCCGAACTGCCACGACCCGGGGGCTGTCTGGTTCTAAATCTTGCGAGCTTCCAGCAAGGAGCCATGCCAAAGGCACCCAAAAAGAGGCCTGCTGCAGCTGTGCCGGACAAGGCTGATGAGAAAATGAAGAAGCCGCGGCAGCTTGAGTCGCTTGCAACGCAAACCGGAATGGTCAGCCCAGAGAAAACCGTGGAGCTGTTGTGTCAGGCAGCAGGCCTTGTCAGAACGGAGAAGCAGGAGCAGCTGAAATGGGCTAGCGCCTTCGACGGCAGCAACATGCCTGGCTACACGTTCGGGTTGCTTCGGGTTCCTGCAAAACACACCTTCGGTTCCGAGAAGGCTGCTGCCCCAGCATATTTCACCTTGGCGAATTTTAGCATGCTCGACGCTGACGGCCATTTGTATGAGGACCGTTGCTGGAAATGGGTAGAATCACTATCTAATAGGAACCTTTCTGTTGTTGAATGAACAAAAGTTGCGCCAACTTGCAGGACGTGCAGTCCTGCATCAATGGCAAAGGCTTCTGCATTGCACACGGCAAGGCCTGCGGTATGCCAAGCAGCCACCCTGACTTGGTGGTTTGTGGCTTCCCTTGCAAATCGAACAGCATTATGCACAAGGAGCGATTTCAGGAGGATGCATTGGCAGAACACAAGCAGTCCCAGATGTCATTCAATTCGGCACTTCAGCTGCTGGCTAAGACAACTCCCAAATACTTCCTCCTCGAAAACGTCTTAGGCGCTGCGAAGTCGCTCGCCAGCGCTACTAGACTCATGCATGTGTAACGATGTTGTGAAGTGAAAACCGCCGAGAGGCGGTCCACAACAATGCGCGCTCAGGTCGTCTGCCAAAGCGTCGGCTGGCTCTGCTGAGATCAAAGAGACCCCGAAGGACCATGGCGAGTATGATTTACCAGTTCGTGCCAGCACCGAGAAGCCCCCCTGACATGAAATTGTTGGCTTATCCTGTTCTCTGATGCTGGGTAGTGTCAAGAAACAGAGCATAGCTATGAGAAAGCGAATCTTGCGTGTAACAGGGCGACAGGCTTTGCGCATTTGTCTTGCAAGGTTGGGTTTTGAATACACCAGGCAGTCTATCGTGGGTTCTGCTATCGGAAGCCGCAGACTGCACTCGTAATGGGCGGAAACATCTTGCGCCACTGTTCGGATATTTTGAATTAACTTAACAGTGGCGCGATGGGCTCAAAGGAGTTTCCCTGTGCAGGAGCACTACGAGAGGCGGATGGGCGAGGTACTGAGGCAGTACAGCATTGCTTGCGTAGAGCTGACCTCTGCACCAATGGCAGAGAACAGGCCTCGGCTGTGGTGGCTGGGGAGCCGTGACGAAGGCTTCAGGGCAAGCGATTGGAAGAAAGCAGTGGAGGACCTCCACGCGCAAGCATGCGGACTGCAGCGGCAGAGCATGCACCCGTATTTCCATGCGAGCCAGGGGGGCCGAGGCAAAGACGTGGAAGGACCGCCCCTTCACGAAACAGAGGCTTTGTACAGCAAGTACTTTTCCGAGCAGGTGAACAAAGCCATACAGGCAAACCGACTTCCGAAGGATGCCAAGGCAATGGACCGGCGAGAAAGGCCATCTGCTCGTCATTCCCACCTGGCTGCGCAGAATCCCTACACACAGGCAGTTGCAGACTGCTTGCACATGGCTTTGCCCTACATGTACCACGAGCAGGACGTGAACCTGGATGAGAATGAACGCAACTGCCGCCCTGTGGTTGCGGACTTAAGCCAGAACTCCGCACGGGCTCGAACCTCGGCGAGTGGCTGGTGGGGTACATTGACAACGTCCTCCCGCCTCTACGACTTCGTTTCAGGCAAGGTCCTCGACGCTGCGCAACACCTTGCTTTGCTCGGTTTTGACATCTCAAAGCTGAATCTGGGGACTTTGACGGACAAAGATTCTCGGCAATTTAGTTTTACTGTGATGTTGACAACGAGAGGGCATGCAAAAAGTACTTGCGAAGCTACAAGCAAAGTCCAGGAGATATGCGATTTGGCCGGCAATGGAATGAGCCTGGGGCAAACCACCAAAGTCTTCATACCCCTCCTAAAGCACATGGGCTACTTCAAGACTGCCCCCTCCAAAAGTCCCGTCTTCAACGGTTCGGCAGGGTTTGGTGCCCTCAGCGGTCCCATCCGAATCTTGTTTGCAGTCCTTGATGACAAAAGTGCCGAATTGTTTCACTTGTTGCTTTGTGTTGTGACCTCAGGGTAGACTTGCTTGTTGGTTCAGGTGGCGCTTCCTTCGACAAGAGATGCACGGTCATCTGGCTTACCGGTGGAGGCATCTTGTCGCCCGCATGTTTGAAAGGGTGGGAGCTGCGGCCAAGTGCAGACATCTGGGCAATGGAGTTTGAAGCCGAGGAGTGTGATGCGCAGGCACGGACACTCTACAAGAAGAACTTCCCGAAGGTGATGCTTGCACGGGATTTTGGCAGTAATGATTTCGGCTCCAAGGAGATTCTGATCTCTGGGAAATGTCCGGAGAAAAAGGAGAACCTGGAGTGGCTGCTGGAGGCATGCGACAAGTACATGGCCAAATGCAGTGCAAAGATCGTCCTTGTCTTGGCGAGTCCCCGTCCTCCGAAGGAGTTAGAGGGCTCGCGCTGGACAAGTGGGAGCCACGAGGTGAGCTGGTCCGCCTTCTCCAGCTTCGAGGCATCGACTTTCGTGACGTTGTATTGCAAGGGCAATGGCCGCGATGCAGCGACCGGCGACAAGCTGGCAAAGGCGCTGGCTGCAGAGATGGAAAGCTGCCTTAGGTCCGGATCGGAGAAATGCCGGGACAAGCAGCTGCAGGAACCCATGCTGGACTTGCCTACGCCAGCAGCCGATGCAGAGCGAACCCCAGCAATCACACGGCAGCTGCAAATCCAAGCCGCGGCTGCCAAGTTGAAGGATTCCATGGCGAATGACAACAGCAAGTTTCGTTACATAGATGCATCGCGAAAGGCACTCAAAGTCTGCCTTGCCATTCCGCTGCCTACGAAGAGATCGATCCTGCTGTCAGCCTCACCAGGCATGGATGCCAAGGTGGGCCGCGTGTCCTTGCTCGATGCAATGGGCTACGGTTCCACCTGTGTCAACTTGGCCTTGCAACCAAACAGCAGAAAGGACTCAATTCATTGTT